ACGGCTGTGGTGGTGGACAATATTTCTGTTGAGGTGGATAGCACGGCTGTGGTGGTGGACAATATTTCTGTTGAGGTGGTGGATAGCACGGCTGCGGTGGTGGACAGTAGGATTGGGCTGGTGGACAATATTGCTGCGGAGGTGGACAGCAACGCTGGGCAGGCCGCCAGAACTTCTGCGCTGGAGGACGGCAACACGACTGGGCAGTTGGACGGCACTTCTGCACCGGGGGAAGACGCCACTGGGCAGGCGGGTGGGCCTTCCGTCCAGGAGGAGAACAGTATTTGATCGGCGGGCGCGTCTTCTGTGCCGGGGGACAATACCGTTGGACGGGAGGACAGTAGCTTTGGACTGAAGGACAATATGTCTGCTTGGTTGGGCAACCCTTTGCAGCTGGAGGACAATATTTTGGGGGGCAATACCTCTGCACAGGAGGAGGGCAGTGGGATGGAGGTGTACCACAATATTCCGTTTCAGAAGTCCATCTTACGGAGTAGCTGGGGGCTTCCCAGCTTACAGATCTCCTACAACCGCTGTAGGAAACTTCTCCGTCTTCATGTTGTGGCTTGTACATCTCTGGAGACCTTGGATGAGACCTGTGAAAAATAGGTGTGCGAGGAGCACAAGGATGAAAATATTTCAGATGAAAAAAAGAACACAACGGATGAATGAAATTGCTGAATAATTCGAACGGTTTTTTTTGGTCATTCTTTTCCTGAGCATTTCCCGTGAAGAACGCATCTCAATTATACTTGGGAGTCAGTTAAAATTATGATTTGGTAATGCACCATGTTAAGCCTTACTGTGCTTAGAAGGAAAGGATGAAAGAAGGAAAGAACAAAAGAAAGAATGAAGGGAGGGAGAGAGGGAAGGAAGAAAGGAAGGAAAAAGAAAGAAAGGAAGAAGGCAAGGGAGGGAGGGAAGCAGCAAGCAAGCAGGGAGGGAGAGAGGGAAGGGAGGAAGGGAGGAAGAAAAGAAAGGAAGGAAGGAAGAAGGCAAGGGAGGGAGGGAAGCAAGGAAGCAAGCAGGGACAGAGAGAGGGAAGAAAGGAAGGAAGAAAAGAAAGAAAGAAAGGCAGGGAAGGGCGAGAGGGATGGAAGGAAGAAAGCATGGAGGGAGAGAAGGAAGGAAGGAAAGAAAGAAGAAGAAAGAAGGAAAGAAAGCTGGGAGCAAGATGAGGAAAGGAAGGGAATGAAGACTTAAATCATCGGTCATACTTTTTTAAAAAAAATCACCGAAATTGTCCAAGATATCAGGTTAAAATATAGAACAGAGTTGGAAGGGACCTTGGAGGTCTTCTAGTCCAACCCCCTGCTTAGGCAGGAAAGCCTACCCCCCTTCAGACGAATGGATATCCAACATCTTCTTAAAAACCTCCAGTGTTGGAGCATCCACAACTTCTGGAGGCAACT